GTTATTTGCAATCACTACTTTGTCATGTGTATACGTGTTGTTTTGATTAGCATCAGATTAGGGTTAACTCTAGTTGAGTCAACACTAGGTTAGTTTCACTCTAGTCATAGAATACAGTCGCGCTTACTCTGTCGGGACACCATAATCAACCTACTTACAACTACCCCAATGCTGAAAGTCTCAACTCAAAGAACTGACAATCTTCCGAGTATGCACGACTATATTCTACCTCTATCGTTCTTTCTCTTCCTCGTCACAGCAACAGTAGCAACACACTCTCCTTCGCACTTTTGAGCTTTTTACCTTTCCCTTGCAACTTATCACATACCTTTTTTTTTGCAGCCCCTTTCTTCACCACACCGAAATTGGCCGTTTGCATATTTCTTTTCATCTCTTCGACTCTCTCTCGACCAATCAACTCCAATTTCCAGTTAACTCACTCCAACAAAAACTCAAACTACTGTTCTTGTTTTATCTCTTGTATTTCCTTCCTCCGCTCCTCCATTTAAAGTCTGCCAGTCATTCAATGGTGAATTTCAATCAAAGATCAAACTCCATACAAATCAGCACAATTGCTTCCCTCCATTACTTCAAGACTACGCTTGTGTACGACACACGCTCCCATATCATAAGATCTATTTGATTCAACTGCAATATTAACTATCACCCATCAACAGTTATGTTCGGAGATGATCTTTTCGAGATTCAATAAGTAGTGTGGGTGATCTCAAACTCAACAAATGTTGCAAAGATATTCTTCAGATTAGATTGAGATTAAATGTGCAGCAAAAATCCATGAAATCTTGAATGTAACTTCACAAAGCTTCAAATCCTTGAACTCAACTTCTGCAACGAACAAACATATGTTTCAAAGATTGTCAACAACAATCCGCAACTCTAAACGCTGAATTCAAGAGAATGGATGGAATATACAAAATTGATAGTGTTAATGATCACAACGAGATGTTCAAAATTCACAGCTTTGCAATAGAGAAGAAAAATTATCTCAACCACACTCAAAAACTCTAACGCTCCTAGAGCGCATGGAAATTAACGCAAAACTACCAAAATTGTCACTCTTATCAAGTATTTATACTCAAAATTCTAACAGTTTGAACATCTGAAACCTCGTTCAAAAATTAAGACAATAGATCAATCAAGTTCGACCAAATTTCTACCATAGATCCAAATCAGAGCGAAATCAAAATCAGTGAGTTCTTTGGGTGAAACGTTGAGTACTTGGATCATGTGATATATCCATGTGATTTAAAAGTTCACCAAACAAAGGTTGATGCTATTGCACATATGTCTCGGTCGATGGATGTGAGTAGAGTTTGTGCATTCATGAGTTTGGCAAACTACCACCGAAAGTATGTGAAACAATTTTCTGCTATAGCACAGCCTTTGAACCAGTTGTTGAAGTCAAATTAGGAATAACAATGGAAAGATGAATAGAAGAGAGGTTTTGTTAAACTCAAGGTCAAGTTGGTGTCCGCTTTCATCTTGAGGAGATCCATCAGAGGTCGTCCAGTCCATTTGCACTTTAATTGGACTATGTTGGAACTTGAAGCAGTGTTGACGCAGCGTGATAATGAGGGTAAGGAGTTTGTGATTACGTATGCTAGTGATTTGAACGATGCAGCGAAGTCACATAGTTCATACAAGGGAGAGTGTTTGGTAGTGGTGTGGACTGTGACACACTTCAACTGTTACTTGTTTGGTACGAAGTTTATCCTTGCTACTAATCACCAACCGCTCAAGTGGTTGATGGAATCCGAAAAGCTCGCAGGGAAGCTTGCACGGTGGATTCTCATATTATAGGAGTACAACTTTCAGGTGATGCATAGACCAGGAGTTGCAAACCTTGATTCAAATGATTTGAGTCAAAATCCATGCATTAGCTAGGAGTATGACACTAGAGCTAGATGACACGGTGATGTGGATGAGGAGATGGTGCTAGGTTGGCATGCATTTGCCTTCTTGTGTTCATTATGTGGAGACTTTAGAAGGGAGGGTCACTTGACAACTTACTCTAATCAAAGAATGGAAGTTCAATCTTCAAATCTTGACGTTGAAGATGATGATATGGATTAGCATGATATTCACGATGATGTATTAGTAATGAAGTTCCTATGAACCAGTATGATGTCAAGCATAATGAGTGCAAAATAGCAAGATCATGTTCTCTAGCGGGCAAAGAGATACCAGTTGGAGGGAGCACATGTTCTCAGAGTATGGAAGGATGGGACAGTACGAGTGGTACTGTATCCAGCTCAGAGAGCGCGCATCATGCGACATGACCATGAGGAGTTCAAACATTTTGGAATGAAGCGTACATACAGCTTACTCCCTGGTCAGTATTGGTGACGTGGTATGCATACTCAGGTACAACATTTGATATACTCAAGTTGCATGATTTGTGATCAAATGAGGGCATTGTTCATCGTACTCTTGTCATGTTGCTCCTATTCGTAGGAGCAGTAGCAATCAACATATCATAAGATAAAAGATTGACAAAATTGAACATAGACTGAAAATGACAAATGAAAGATTTGTCATGCATGTAATGTGTAAATTGTAATCAAGTTTGGAACAATCAAGATGTAAAACACCATGAAAAAAAATTCCACCAAAATTTATGAATGGCTCTCATATGGACTAGTAAGTGCGATCTTCTGCGATCTACAATATTTAAGTTTCTAGAAAAGAAAATAGACATAGAATATAATATAGAGTACGATGATAACCATATAATACAATGCAAAGCATATCACTTCATATCTCCAATCTCCCTAGATTACTTTATAGACACACAAACATTGTTCAATCATGTAGTAGGAAGTTCACATGTCTTCCAATTGAATAGCATATCTTTGAACATATCAACATAGGAAGAGTTTACACACTAGCAATTTCAAGCTTGTGACATCCATCGATATTATGTTTGCGCACAAATCATGTATTAATCAGTGTGCACAAACGAGTAAGAGAAGACAGATATAATGCAGAGATCATAATATATTATTTCAATGCAGTAGACATGGCAGCCAATCACTCAAGACTTTGTCTTCCTTTCCTCTCTTCTTGGCCTTCTATGGCGTCAAGGCTAAGAGCCAGCATGTATGTTTGCTCATATATTGTTTAAACATAATAAACATGTCTTGAAACTTGTTCTTGTTCTCGCTATCCCTTCATTTTTTTTCCTTGGTTCCTTTATGGGAGTATTGGAGGTTAGTTTCACAATTCAATGAGTATTGTAAGAAAAAAGTTGGTCAGTCTAAGCCTTCTATTATTATTCCTTTCTCTTGAAAATTGCAAACTGAGAATTCTAACATTTTGATCAAATTGATTATGCGAAATCACAAGCATATACTCCAATGGAATCTTAGGTGTCAAAGTGATTGTATAACCATGCATTAAAATCAACTGTAAAAAAGTCTAACATGGTTGTAGCCAGATTGAACATAATCACTACAACTCATACGGATTTGGAATGGTCCTACTAGACCACATCCAGTATGATCTTTGGATGGTTTTAGATGGTAAAGCTATCGCATCAGACGTCTTGAAAGGCTATGAAATAGAAGGCTTTTGGTGAAATGCAAAATCGAACGAACGATTTTGCATTTCACCAAATGGCTCTTTGGGTTCTTCACCGCAATTTTAGACGGAGAGGCGGAGGAGAGGACGAAAGTTACGAAGAGGACGCCCGAAAATATCGGCCGCATAAGAGCGGAGCATACAACTAAGGTACTGCCATGGCACGGCATCAAACAGAGTAGCTCTCAGATGTTTCTCTGCTGCCAGACAATAATTTCGACGACGTACAATCGATCTTACACGTATTTCGACACGGGAAGTATTTCCATTCTTTCCATTCTTTCCATTCTTTCAATTCGGTACCATCATGAGATCCTACTCATCGGTACAGTACTGTACCCGGGAAAATAACGTCGACGAGTACAGTTCCATTTCTTGGAATCGTGAGATCGACAGTTTGTGGGCATAGATCGAGATAGGGTCATACAAGCCCTTCGCGGATTGAAGTGAGACGAGACTGCGGGAGCTGGTGGTGAATTATTGAGCAGCTACTGTGGTTCCCTGGTATTACAGGAACGAACGATTCGGGACAGTACAGTACAGGACGGCCCTGTAATCTGAGTCGTCGTGAGGCTCCTGCTATCGCGAGTGAATGTTTCCGTTTGATACATTGAAAGAAATTCCTTCAGAGACGAACAGCCAGTGACACTTCATGAAGTATAATACTGTCCGCTTAATGGAAATGAAATGAGTAGGAGCCTGTACATAAGACACTGGTGGACTCCAAGGCACCGGGCGAGAAGAGTTGTACTCTGTCACCGAAAGGGATACTTTCAGTTTGGTGCAGATGCGATGTCACCGGATGTGGATGGGACGAGTGAGTACAGGTACGAGCTGTTGAGGTGGGCTCGAAAGCCTGCGTGATTTACAGAGCATTTCTTTCTTCCGTATATACTGCAGAAGCGTTGTACACAAGTGGAAGCTGTGGCAACAACATCCAACGAACAGGTGAAGATGATTCTGTCCCATGCTTTTGATCCGTCCACATCTCACTCTGCGACAGAAACCCGATCCAGAGAATCTTTCTGTCGTTGTTTTTGGTGCTACCACACCAGACGTTCAAGTACTACAGTACCGAAAAAATGCTCTGCTGTGGAGACCTCTTCGACCTTACAAATGCGTGCGATACATTCTACTGCAATGCACTTCTCAAAAGTTTACATCCCAGCAAGATGCTTCCAAGTATTAGTCAACAACCACGATGTCCACTTCGTTGCTGCTCTGGAAGCATAAAGTATTATTGGCACCATAGTGGTGTTTACCTGGTTGAACTCTTACCCATAGAATTCTGTCTCACCTGCACGATAAAGCATGCTAATCCTCGACCTGTAGGTATGAACTGATTGTTCTTGGTCGTATCACCTTCACGACTATTCGGTGAAGAAGAAAGTACATTCGCAGGGAAACGCACTCATAGAGGTAGTACTAAAAACTTTGTCTGTGGTCAGTACTCAACCATGCAAATGGTTTTTAAATGATTTGGTTGACTATGTAAGCAACCTCCTTGTAATATTGTACAATCCATCTTTTGAAGGAAATGTGACAGATGGGTACAATTAGCAGTTGTGAGTAGAGAGTTTGTGAAACTTGTGATACTCCTGGCATATCAGAGGAGCCATCACTTACGTTCACGATTTGTACATTTTATACAGGTTTCTGTCCCACTATTTCGATGAGTGGAATCATATTGCACGTGCGATCAGCCCCATATTCAAAATCAAGAACTCCTGGGTTTCTGGGATTGGCTAGGACGTGCTGATTTTCAAATCTTGCGGAGAAACTATCGAAAGTCTTAAATTTAACATCAGTTCAATTGCGCTGTGTACTGATTGTCGTCTGATGGATGCATGTGACTGGCAATTTTCTCACAATTCAATCTTCTCTCCCTTCACTTGTTGAAATAAAGAGGGAGCTCGTTTACTATCTATGAGGGGGCTACTATGGTATGGAAGACTGGATCTTTCGGGTACTGTGAAAGTAGACTGCTTGACAAAAAGACACAGCTTTTCACTGCCCTTTTCCAGGCCTGTGCGAAGCCCGTAGTATGTGCACAACTCTTCAACCTGGCTCTCTTCGAGTAAGAGTAACTGTCCTAATTCTAGAAGTGGAAAAGGATGAAGTTTGTACTCTGCCACGTTGAGCATGGCCAAAGCTGTGGCACGAACTGCGTCGAAGGATAGCTCCATGAGGCAAGACTGTAGATATGTGGCATCATTTACCAGCCGGAAGAAGCCTACAAAATTGTTACTTCTATAACACCTGCAAACACCAAACCGACTGATGAGTAAATTGTTCTGCGTAAAAATTAGACAAAGAAAAGGAATTACAGCGTCAACGGGATGCATATGATATCTTTTCCTCCATGATCAACACCTAACTCGACTCTAATGAGAATCATACTCTTCAAATCCATCTTTCCTTAAAAGATCAAAGGAGGTGACCCACCGTTCAACAGAAACCTTCCAATGCAGTTTAGGTGCAAATCTTCTACACCTCAAAAGGCATAAACTGAATAGAGAATGGTTGTAATCCATCAATCCTGTAAATTTCATCCGTCTTCTCTACTCTTAATCCGCAACAAAAATTGACTTCGTAAGAGGACTCCAGACTAACCTCAAAACTTTCCTTGCAAACTGCATAGCAGGTGCCTGGAGCACATTCGAGGGCACGTTTGGAAGCCAGAGAGAAAGAGGTTCTGCTTGGAGTTGGCCATGACTGCCAAGATTCAAAAGCACATAGTATGCATGGAACTCAGCTTCATTATCGAGTTGAACGCCATCCTCTCCTCCTAAACTGATATACAAGTTGAGAAGGCTGTACAAAGATTTTGAAAGTTGCTGAAGATTCAAGTGTGTATCAATTTGCTTCGATCTCTTCCTGTTAAGCTCCCGCAGTTCATGCTGTGATATTATATGAAATCGCACCTGCAGAGAGCAATGGAAGACTTTGAGAACCATTTCCCCCATTCCCTTTAAAAAAATTCATAAAAAACGAAAAAAAATGTAATCATTATATATCTTTCAAAGCACAAAAATACAAAACAATCGAACATTCAATTGTCAAGTGCCAGCAATTACTTTTGCGAACTTCTTTCCAAATTCTTAATCACAAGCGCGTGTGGAGATTCCAGCAGCAACTGGATTGTGGTTTACTATTCCTTATGCTACTATATAAGGGAATACTATTTCAAAACTATACTCACTCTACTTTGCAAATACATCTGAGCAGGGATTAAGAACTCTGCCATTGAGTCCATCGATTCAAAATTAACAGATATAAAGAAGCGCGTGTAACACCTACCACTTGCTCGTGAATTGTGATATTTTGATAATCTCGAATTCGCTGCATGCCTAGCTCTTGTCTGATCGCTCGAGTGCGATCAAAGAGGAAACTGTGCACAATGTCAAAAGGAAATTCGGGGTCATCTAGAAGTCCCAACAAGTACTGCAAAGTCCTCCACAAAACTGGTAAAGGTCGAACATCTGACTGCGACAGCTCTGAAGCTACAACCGTCCTGCAAAACTACGGAGTAAAGCAGAAAGATTAGTACATGATTCGAGTAGACGTGTCAGATTTTGTAGCTTGAACATTGTTTACAGACGTGATTACAAAGGCAATGGTGGTGAATATATTTTGCGCAATTCTCGACACTCTAAACGATACAACTACGTCGAAGGCAATCAAGGACAAATCCTGGAAAAAATCTTGACATATGTAGGAGAAGAAGACAAAACTGACGCAGGCACCGAGAGAAAGAGATACCGGAAAAATCAGCAGTCGTCCAGCACTAGTACAAACCCCTAAACACGAAGACCGGGTGTAAAATTTAGGAACACCAAGACTAGACAACACCTTCCGAGGCTACCAGACCTGGCTCGCTTCTAGTGGAATGCCTATGCACTAGATTTTTGTCATTAAAAGTCAATGAGGAAAACTGCCAAAGAGTAGACATTAGATATAGCGTGTTGTGCAAACATAACTGAGGCAGAACCCATAGGAGCGGCCATCATATTCAAGATAGTGATTTTCACACCAAGTTCATGGATTGCAGCATGCACACAGGATCCACAACCCAAAACAATACAATGACGGCACCAGCGAGAATGAAGAAAAGGTTGTGGCCTGCGCATGCGGTGGGGCTAAAATGTCCAAAAATGGTGCTAAGAGAGAGGAAGGCAAGAAGTGGAGCTTGACTTCTTTTATATTCATCTGGTTGTTCTCGATGGAATGGTCGAGAGGCGATGGGGGAAAACACTGGAACGGGAGTGGCAAGCCAGTCAAGGCATTCCATTGCTCCTATCATCCACCTAACTACTTGAAAAAGCCACCCCTTGAAAAGCCTACTATGATCAAACGGTGCTCAACAGAAGATATAGCAACAAATCCTGGATGGAGACTCGCACTCTAAGATCACTGCGACAGGAGTTAGAGGACTGCTATACAAGAACATACGAAGCAGGTTACTAACTACATAAGAGGTGGCCCAAATTCGAAACATTTGAGGTCGTGCAGGGTGAAGGTTGAGGTGAGGGGAGTTGTATGCCGTGTGCACCATCAAGTTGTGTGCCATGGTCCCGCAGTCCAAAGATTGTAATTATTAACATACAATACTTGTTGATGTAGTAGTTCCATACATTATTGTGGACCAAATGCATGCTTATGTGGGAGGTAACGACTATCACAATAGCCAGTGGCTCACTAACTTATGACATACACCAATTTGAGCAAAGTTTCGAGGGGATCCAATGCCAAGTTGCCAAGGACGGCTATAGTTTAGCATTCTCGAGATTCCAACCATCTACAAAACTTTCTACACTGATATGGAATTTTATGAGTCTGAACAGTGATCAGGGGTAAACTTTTCCTGGATCAGAATTAAAGTACATGTCACAGCTAGTTGTGACCGTGTCCAAGCATCTTCTTTTGGACTCCACCTAAGCTCCAAAATGGAAAAGTGATTACTCACGATCTAAGATACGATCTATGGGTTGTATCAACCTTCTTAAACACTAGTATTATCTCTACAAACTGCCCCAATAAGCGGGACGGGTGCTGCTGACACTCCGGAAAGGACAGCACATTATAAATTTACACTAATTGTGATATGGCCTTGACTAGCCTGACAGGACTTGGATATGGGGTCACAATCCATCTAAAACATCGTACACTGACAACTGGATTGAAGAGCTTTGATAAACCATCTCCTCGTAAGTGCTCCCTTGGACCCATCCAAAGAATACGATACATTGCCAAATACTGAAACTGTCCCGGGGCTTTAACATCTACTGCGGCTAACTAAGCCATATTACAAGTTAGCAAAGTGTCCGGAGATTCTAAAGGCTTTTAGGGTCCAAACTCAAGGTTTCATTTACAATATCTACGAAGTACTGTGAAATTTTGTATCCTGCGACGTCAGCAATCATGCATCCATCTCGAAGGTACTGAGTACAGACTCATCCATCGAGTTCATAGGTTCCGGCATTCAAAGGCGAGCTCGGGGACGTTGCAGCTCACTGACAAAAGTCAAAGCAGAACTGAAATAGAACGAACAGTAGAGTGATAGCAGATAGAAAAGACGAAGGACTCCCGCGCTTGATCTATAATGAGAAGACAGGAAGCAGTTGAAGCACAAGTGAGCAGCAAGTGAAAGCCGAAGATACATGCTACAGGACAATCAAGAAGAAAAAGTTGTGGATGTTTTAGCAAGCTGATCAATCTCACTTTTGCTATTTCAAACACCGCCTTGCAGGTTATGGCAAGCAAGGAGATCCAGTTCAGGATATGAGCGCTGGCTCAGAGAAAACTTCGAGATAGAGGACTTATTTGAAGACAAACACAGGCTTGAAAAAGGGAATCACTCGAGTATAATCTCTCACAGGCCTACTCAAAGTCAAACTACAGCAGTAAGGGGTTTCACAGAGGGACCATTCTCTCTTTATGTCGTTCTTTAAGGATATCGTTATCAGGAGCTTGTGCACACATAGAGCAAGTAAAAAGTTATCTCGTCTATCCGAATACACTTCGAGGACTATAAGAAATATTGAAGACAAAAAGCTCAGTCCACAGTGAAACGAACAGAAGGTAGTGGAAGGGTATGGAAGACACGGTGCAGATCGTTCGCTATAACAACACGAAAAGGCAGAAGGTGACAGCCATGGCATCTATCTGCCCAACTGGACCCACAGGCCAAGAGAAATGGGAAACATGCCCTAGGACTGCTGCTTCTTGCAGGAGAAATAGGTACAAAGCTCCGAGTGGGCCCTGACCGCACGTTGACTTCACCTCTACAAACTAAGATACATATTCAATCTGCAAGTGTACAGCTATCTCCTGTGAGTACGCCCTTTGCGCGCTTTGTCTGTGTGCGAGGATACCTACAAGGGATACTTGCCTCAGAATATGCCTTCAGAGAACAGATGCCTTTTCAACAAATCAAGCTGAAATTTGAAAGCAACGTGGATCATTAAAGGAGAATTGGTTAAATATCATGTAACTTCGTGAATGAATATTCTGTGTCTCCAAAGACATGGGCACCTTCGTGACTGACTGGGTTCTTCAGGCTCAATTCTCGCGTTGTGCACAGCATTCCTGGTTCTACTCGTGGGTATAATGAGTGGACTAAGACTTCTGCCACTGTGACTACTGGTTTCACCTCTGGGTTTGCTAGAAATAGCATCCATAACCCCTGTACAGACCTATAAAGTGCGTAAATAATCTGCACGACTCTCGATGTAATTCTTGAAGGAGAGGCCTACTTGACATCATCTCAAGCCCCATTCATTGCTCAGGTGCAAATGCTCATAATCCGGTTGTGCTGGATGATACACCCTGCGATAGGGTTGCCTGTGTTGCGGAAGTCCCCAGCATTGTGCTGATCAGGGTCGAAGAAGAATCATGGACGGCACAATCAGAATCCTGTCCATGGAGAATGTAGATGGCTGAATCTTCAAGGACTACTGTAACACACATTTTCCAACGTACATTCTCCAGCCTGTGCTTAAGATCTGTGAAAGAGAAAGACAAGAGTGTTTACCTTCTTCACGGCCAGCTCCTTTGATGTCTTTTTGAGATCCCCATTGACACGCTCAAATACTGCTAAATCTCTCAGCCTCTCCCGCTGTAACCGCTCCTTAACTGCAAAAGGACGGAGACTTGTTGGCGAGAGCTATCTCGAAGAGAATCAACCTTTTGGTTGAAAATCAAAAACCTCCCTATATGCAAGGGCTCGAGCGACGAGAGCCAGGGACGAAAAGATCCCCACCTGGACACATGTCGGTGCAAGTTCCGACGATGTGCGGTAGTGGGTCATCATCTCCGACAGCCGTCGCTTCGTTCAGTGCACGAAAAAACGCAGCAGGCCGAACTGCTGTATTGACGTTTTTCTGATCGAACGATTCAGTTACGCTATTTACAGAGTCTTCAGTATCTCCTCCCACCGAGGCACTTCTGGTCAGTGAATCCTCGAGTCCTGGACCTTTCCTCCATCGTCCATTCTCTTCTCGCGGGCCAAAATAGTCGCCAGGGTCGCCGGACTTCCTCCCGCGAGGAGAATTGACAGAAGGCTTGAGGTTGGACGGCTCGTTCCGACCCTTGTTCCGCAGAGCCAGCGGCACGTACTTATCGCCTCGACTGGCAGATCTCGATTCTCCAGTCCTCTGCGCATTGGCTCCTGCTCGGGGCTGGGCGGCATCGGCAGCATCCTCGCGAACGCTGTTCCACGGTTTGAACTCTCCCTTGGCGGAGCCCGGAGAACTAATCGAGCCACCACCAGGTGAATCTCCGCCCAGATCTCTGCTGAAACTATTTTTCCGTCCGAGTCTAGTTCTAGGGCTCTGAGTGTCACCCACGACATCTCTGCCGAAGCTTCCGGTTCTGCGCAGCTCGCCTTTCGGGGCACCGGGGCTGTGAATGTGGTTGCCCAGAGCATCGTCGCGCTTCTTGCCGTTCGGAGTCCTGCTCCCGAAGCTATTCCTCCTGCCAAAATCCTTCTTGGACGCCCCGGGACTGCTGGTCAGAAGGTTGGAAGAAGCGTCGTCCAATTTCCTCCCGCTCGAATTCCTGCTCAGGCTGCTCTTCCTTCGAGTGAATTCGCCTCTCGCGCCAGAACTAGGGCTGCTGCTGACGACCGGAGGCCCGAAAGCTTCCTCGCGCTTCTTGTTGGCCAATGCCTGCTGCTCCTCCTCCTCCTCCTCCTCCAGGCAGATCTCGTACCAGTCGGTACTTCGTCTGGTCATCGGAGACAGAGGATCCTTGGGCGTCTCAGGGCTGTACTCGGCCGCTTCGGCTCTCAGGCTCACAATCTGCGGCAGTTTGATCAGCCCCAGCCTCGCGGTCTCGGGATTGAATTCCGCAGCATCGGCCCGCAGGCCTTGAGACGGCGGAGTCCTGGGCTGCGATGGTGGCGTTCCCGCCGGAGACACAACGGACCTCGCCGCCTCGCCATCGCCATTCCCATCGCCATCGCCAGCATTCCCCTCGCCGCCGAGGCTTCCGAGCCCTGCGGGAGACGGCGACAAAGGCAGCGATTTCTCAGCACCTTCCTCGTCTTCTTCCTCTCCATCTGCATTCCCGTCGCTGCTGCTGATTCGAAGCTCCTGCGGAGGAAACCCTTTGTAGCCAGCCTCCTCCTGCTCCTCCTGCTGCTGCTGCTGCTGATGCTGATGCTGATGATGCTGCTGCTGCTGCTCGTCCTCGAGCTCGTCCCCGTTCTGCGATTGCAATTGGAATTGTGAGGGGGCCTCGTAGTCCCCTACCACCTCGTCCACATCGTCCTGGAAGAAGCCCCCCTGGTGGCTGCTGGGGGGCACGCGCGCGTCCTGGACGCTGCCCTTGCCCCAACCCCCGCCTCGAGCCGAGCCCCGCTCGCCAGCGGCATTCCTCGGCGGGGGATTGTCGTCGCCGAACGATTTGCTGTTGCCCCAGGACGGAATTCTGGCGGCTTGACGGCCGTCGTGGTGTCTGTTCAGACCTCTGGAGGACGATCGAGAGCGCGTGGGGCTATCCAGCGACGGATCCTTCTTGGAGCCGCCGAATCGAGCGGCAGGGCCACGGGCATTGCTCTTCTGAGAGTCGTTGCTGCTGCCCCAGGCGCCGGAGGCCTGCGAATTGCCCCGGCCGTAGTCGCCGCGCCCTTCGGGCCCGAACCCCCCTCGGCCTAAGCCCCGCCCGTAGCCATTTCTCGAGCCGTTCTGCGGCAATCCTCCGCGATTGGATCGCCAATTGGGGCTATCGCTGCCGGAGCCCCATTTCGTCGCTCCCATGCGGGCCTTGGGGCTCGAGCCCCAACCCCTGCCTTCGAAGCCCCGCGCATCCCCATCGCCTCGGACCTCAGCCGCCTGATTGCCCCCCCAGCTGCCCCCGCGAGACGCAGCTCGGAAATCCGGAGTGCCTCCTCCCCTCCGCTCGCCTCTGCTGCTCTCGACGGAATGGTCTCGACTACTGCTGCCCCCGTTGTTGCTGCCTCCCGAACCGCGGTTCCGGCCCCGAGCTCGAAAAGAATCGGATCCGCCTGATCCGGGGCCCTGCTGATTCTGAGAGAATGCAGGAATCGAGAGGGACTGCGGTGGGGCTCTCCCTGCCATGTTTCGCTTCGCCCTCGTCGCCTCGAAATTCAACTCCACCGACCTCGTTGCTGCTCCGATTTCCTTGCTACCACCTCCCCAATCCTCATTCTCCCCTCAAGTCTTCGCCTGAGTCCCCATTCTTGCCCTTCCCTCGCTCCCTCGCTCGCTCTCTATCGCTATGCTCAACTCGCAATCTGTAGCTCTCTGCCTAATCTCTGTCTACTCTCTATCTCTCTCTCTACCTCGCAATCTCTCGCTGGTGTGTTTTTTGACGATTCAGTCAAACTCGCAGTGAGTGTTGCATCCGGTTCTTCGTGGTGACACTCGTCGGTGGCAAAACTAGAGGCAACGGATCTGCCCGGCCAATCGTCGACGAGAGCATCTCAGTTTCCTCGGACGTCTGAAGCTCATTGCCGCCGACAGCACTCTGCTCGTTTGCAAGCTGGCTCTCACATTCTTCTTCTACGATCCTGCGCTTCTGCGACTCTCAGGCCCCGGCGGGCCTCCCTTTGCCCCTCGTGTCCGTCAGCCCCCTCTCCCTCTCCTCTCCTCTCCCTGCTCGGCCGTCTTGCGCTGCCTCGCAACAGCTCAGCCCGAAAGAGCCCTACCAATCCCGCCCCCTCCTCTTGCTACGCTCCCTCCATGCGCAACTGTCGTCTTCCTCGACGATCAAGCCAACATTTGTCTCTTCTCCGCTCACAGCACCGCAATTGCTCAATTCTGCTCTCGCTGGCCTCACATCAACTGCAATCCGTCTATCAATCAATTCGCACTGCAGGCAGCTGTTCCCTCCCTTCCCTCCCTCGCGCCCTTCCCTTCCTCCTCCTCCTCCTCCTGCTGCTCCTCCTCCTCCTCCCCACCCTCCTGCTCTCATCTCATTTCAGCTCGGCTCATCTCATCTCATCTCATCTCCTCTCCCTCTCCCTCTCCTCTCATCGCTCACCAATCTCACCCCGTCGTCTCGTTTCGTCTCGCCCCACACCATCTCCCCTCGTCTGATCTGCTGATCTAATCTACACACCTCGCATCTCTCGCTGCTCTTCTTCCTCCTCCTCCGAGCTCACAGCAGCAGCAGCTCCCGCTGCCCTCAGAAACGACCTGGCCTCTGCTCTGTTCTGTTCAGCTCTGCTCTCGTCTGTTCTGTTCTCTGCGAGCTCTGGTCCGCGCTTAAAGTACGAGCGGTCGGTCGCTCGCGGTCAGTCCATCCCTCCGTCCCTCACTCCCTGGCCGACGCTCCATGCGCAACTCCTGTTGCAGTTGCAGCTGGACCCTCGCTCGCTCCGATTCCTGTTTCTCTGTCTGAGTCTGTCTGTCGTCGGCTCCGGCTTCCGAAGCACATATGAAGATCTCTCCCTCCCTCCCTTCCTTCTATCCGTCCACTACTTACTCACCTGCTGCACATCTGTCTCGCTCGCTCGCTCGCTCGGCTCCGAGCGAAGGATTGATGGGATTGATGTCATGCCTCGTTCATTGGCAACTCCTTTTCATGCGCCTCCCGCGGACTCTTTCGCCTCCCAGTGACCAGTGACCAGTGCCCCCGCATCGAACCCCAACCCCAGCCCCACCCCCTTCCCTTCCCTTCCCTTCCCTTCGCCCTCACCTGGCCTTCCATTCGCTTGCTACCCCCGACTGTCGTTTGGCGCCTCCCTGACCGGCGCCACGGGCCAGTCAGCGAGTCGGTCGGTCGGTCGGTCGGTCAGAGCCCCGCGAACGTCCGGACGTCGAGGTCGCGGCCCCCGCTCTTGTCTCGTCTCGTCTCGTCTCGTCGCACTGCAGCAGAGTCTCCTGGGTCCCGGCGACTGCGTCTCTTTCGGTCAACGGGACGAGTCGGTCACCCCGCTCCTCTCGATCTTCCGACTTCCGACCTTTTCCGTTTCTGGTATACCGTATTCGCCTGGCTTCTGCTGGTCAGCCGGTCAGCCGGCGGTCCGCAGCTACAGCCTGCTCGTACTTCATCGCTTCGTTTCACCGTCCGGAGACCTTGTCCTGTACTCGGGTCAAACTCGACTCTCACCGTCAAGGTTGGGTCAAAACCCCAGTTCGAAACCATCATCTGCGTTCATTCATACATAAAGATCATCAGTATCATAATATATCATTAATTAGTGTTATAGCACTACTGTGTTGAGATATTTTATCATAATATATTTTATGCTTGTAAATCTTTATCGAAATAATTCAGATGTTTTCTATATCATCATATAATGAATTTTTTTAATCATGTAGCTGTGAAATTTCGCGTCATATTTATTTTCCATTAAGAGAATTCAAATGTATTTTACATCATGTAATTATTTTTCAAATAATTTAACTATGGGTTTTTGCCTCATATTTATTCTCCATCAAGATGATTCAGGTGTATATAAATATAATGTAATGTATTTTTTAGATCATTTAAATATGGGGTTTCGCCTCATATCTATTTTCCATCAAGATGATTCAGAATTTATTTGTATCAGGCTTTCTTATTTCTTTAATCAAGTGACTTTGGGATTCGCCTCATATTTATTTTCCATCAAGATAATCCAGCTATCTTATATAATATCATCTAACTGTGGGATTTCACCTCATGTTTACTCTTGATTTATATTCTGTAGTGTTAGAAGAAGCAACCGCTTTGTTAAAAAAATTGAAGAATTTTCAGGTTCTTAACTGTAAATATTGTATCAAGATCACACTATGAAATACGTCTTATTAGCATGTAAGGGGTCTAGCATCATATATCCTTCCCGTGCTATTGCTTGCAAAGCTTTGGGGAGTGATTATATTTTTCTTTCACATCTTTCATCGACTGTTTCTTTTTGTCGATGGGTCGCTAGCTCAGCTCTTTGCAGAGCCTCCGTAATGTTAATTAACGTTGAGGAGCGTGCGGTTGCAGATGACGAACCTGTTGGACCAGAACCCGATTTACTGCGTGGAGCAGATCCTGATTCCCGAAGGGCTGCCGGCGATGTTGAAGGTGTTTGCCAAGGAGGCCATTCGTGCCAACCCCAAGGAATTGGAGAATTTCGCTTGGAGATATTTCGAAAAGCTCGCAGCTACCGTCAAACTGGACGACAGTGCTCCGCCCCCGACTATTCCCCAAGTGAGATTCGATACGCTTCCATTTGCTCTACCCTAGTGCCTCCGCAAAGGTCGAATCTCTTTTTCGCGCTCGTTTTTGAGTCTTATGCCATCGTCAATCTACCGCTCTTCGAATGCCACCGTCGCAGGCATCCTTTCTTGAAATGAATCTCACCGAGTTGAAGCATCTGGTCACTTCTCATCGAAGCATCGACGATTTGTTGAAATCTTTTTACGCTATAATTGCCATTTGTACCAACAATTGCATCGTTGCAGATCGTTCTCGTCTTTGAGAAGACCAGAGATGTTGAGTTCACGAATCAAGAGCCTATGAGGAAGATCATGACTTCATGTGGCATTGCCAATAATGCGTGTGACAACATATTCAAGCTAGCGGACTTCCCCTCCGATCTTATTGACCCTAAAGAAGTCATCGTTCTGCTCATCACATCTACATGCAAGGTGAGTCTACAAGTGGGAACATAACCATCGCAATAGACTTTCCATAAAGGGTTTAGAAAAAGTAAGAAATGATGGTAAAAGTTTGGATGATGGTCCATTTTACGCACTAAGTTGGATTCCAGACCACAAATTAGACGGGGGATGAAAGGGGATAAGTCCTAACTAAAAGCTCTTATCCTTCCATCCTTTTTGCTAAGACCTTTCAGTAGAGATACAGAACTTGTGAATTTTTCATCTCTTACTCGTTTCTTATACGGTGTGATGTTTTCTTGCTAAAATCACTCGGAGCGCAAAATCAGAGCTTCGTTGCAATTATGAAAGGTATATTTAAGGTGTTTGGCGTCCACAGTAACGAGAAAGTACCAACGCAACTATTTTTCATGTTAATCAACTTCATCGCCCGAAGAAACAAAAAGATACATGCTACAACGATTTCCGCTCTTCATCAAGATCTGTGAGTAAATTTCTTGACACAGTTTCCATTCCTTCGATCTTCATTGCCTTCGTTAAGCCAAGGTTTGATTGTTGTTTAGCGATTATCGTCATTTGCATGACAGTCTACTCGATACTCACTGTAGGTCAGAATTTTCCAAACTTAGAGGCTATGCATCTTTTGACAAATGGAACTGACCAACTCTATAGTTCTCACTAGGTTGTGTTGCATTCCATGCTATCAACATAATCAACATCCAGCGGTCTTGAAACTTACTTTTGAAAAAGTGTATCCTTCGATTTTCTTTATTGGAATGTTGTGTGATTTTACAGAAAATCCAAGCAAGTGAAAGAAGTAAAATTCGATGATATCAATAACAATCCGATCATGAAGGATCTTATGAGAATTGTTTGATAACGCTAGTACCCATCGGTACAAGAGTATATTGGTTGAGTACTTTGTTTGATTTCTCTGAAACCATGAAAATAATAGCTTGATGTCATTGATAGACTCTCAACATGCAACTTTCACATTTGGTTATCACAACCTCACAAATCAACGCTGATTATGAACCTTGATTATCAATGATAGGGACATGTTACAATTTTGAAATACATAATTGATCACATTTATTGCGCTATTCACACACTTCTTGAAGCTCTAACCTCATCACATTTGATTGCGATGGTATTCGTCAAATTCAACGAGTTCGTAGCTTCACACATATTTTTCTATCTGTCCAAAAGAAAATTCGTACAAACTAAGATTTCACTATATCTCTTCATGAAACTAAGTTCAAACTTTTCAAACACGTCGTATCCTTATAATACTTTATATCAACAAATAAATGAAGTAAGTTTGTAACTAAAACAGGGCTTCAACTTTATCGGAATCTGTGCCATATGCACGCATAAACCAAAATATTATTCGTCAAGTATTATTTGTCAAACTATTTCCGTGCTTCATAAATTAAATGATATTTTCAAATCAAAGACAATTGTTCATGAATTTTTATTAATATTTCATAATTTATTTTAATTAAATTTGGAGTAGGGTTTTTTCAATGGATTATTCTTTACAATAATCCATTGAAAAAAGTAAAAATTAAAAAATACCACAAGTTTCTATGAACATAAAATTCAAAATATACTCAAGAAAATCAATTCGAATGAAATCGAAATTTAGAGTATACGTTTCCTCATAGAAACAAAATACGTACGAAACTTCCCAATTGGTAATTTTATGAAAATTAGATATTGCAAGTTTGCATAAACTTGACTTTTAAAAATTTTAAGACAGCGTTCACTCCTTCTTCTAACCGAGATTGTTAATGAATTCAAAAATGTTCATTTGCAATATGTATAGTGAAAATTTAATTCTTAGTTACGTTATCTACTAGACTTCAATGATACTTCGAGTATGATTCACGGGAGATTAACAACAGTTTACGGGAGATTAACATATACTTGTCATGCGAAGAATATGTTACTACATTCTGTTTGATAAGTTACTATTTTTGTAACGTGATTCCACTTTAAGGTTTTTTTTTACCCTTGTTAAATCTACAGTTATGTATTTTATTCCAGTTTCATCAATTTTTAATGAACAAAAAATATACAATCGGATCAAGGTGCTCATTTTTTATCGTTAGACTCGTGAACGACATGCTAAGATAAGGTGTTATGCGATAGGCTGTATGGAAATCCTCAACTATTTGGAACTATGAGAACACATTCTTTAAATACTGAAAAATCTGGTGCGTGCCCGGGAGGATAGATAAGATAAGAACGAGTCGAGTACAGAGCGGAGGATCGATACAATACTATACGCAGACACACGAAAAGTCAACGGTATTATACTATATACGGCACAGTAGAATCCAAAAACGGCGCTACGCAACGCTGCAAGCCCCAAGCCCAACCCCCAGAGCAGCAGTCGAGCTGAAATGTAAATAAAACGCCACCGGACACGAGCGATGACCGAGAACCGGGCTTCGCCGGTCACAACAAGCTCAGCCCCCGGGACTCAGGGGCGGGGGGTGTGGGGATCCGGTCCCGGAACCCTAATCCAACCCTCCCGATGCCATAAGTCCACCAAAGGAGAGAAAGCGGAAGCGCAGTAGCGGTAACGGACCCTCGGTCTGTCCGGACTGGACTAAGCCCCAAGCCCGCGTCCGGGGCCATTTTGTCTTGAATGATCTCATCGCAGGGGGGCCACCGAAGTGCCTGCCTGCCTGGCGGGGCCTGGGGCCTGGGGGCTGGGGCCTTCGGGGGAAAGTGCAGAGTGGGCAGAGCGAGCGACGTGATGGATGACAATGTTCGAACTCGAAACCCCCGTTTTCGCATGAGCAGCAGAAGGAGGGCACTGCAGATTCGCCTCAGTCGCTTCCGCTTTTGTTTAGATTAGATCAGCCTATGGATTCATAGCTCGCGCACGCACACACACGCGGGCGGGCGCGACGTATGGTCGTGTGTAAGCGAGGGGAGAAGCGATCCATGAAGACGAAGCCCAAGCCCAAGCCCGTCGTCCGTCGTCTCGGCACTCAGATCATCATGCCACGGACGCCCATGAAGTTTACGAAGCAACTCAACAACAAACCAAAAAAAACCCCCCAACCCCAACCCCTACCCCTACCCCAGCCCCAGCGCAGCCATCATGCCCGGTGTACTGCCGGGGCTCCCAAACGAAGGAACCGACGGACCGACGGACGGACTGACTCACACACTCGTTTGTCCGATCTGGAAGGGATCCAAGCACCATGTCCGGAATGTTCGACGACGGTTCCCCGGATCGGTCCGAAGGAAAACAGTGCGGGGGGTCGCTTTCATGAGGGACGAGCGTGTGCATGATGCGGCGGGCGACTTGGACTTTAGTACAGTACAAGTTTAGTTTAGTTCGGGGGAGATGGGGTTGGGGTTGGGCCTATGGCCGGCCGCCCCCGGCTTGCCCCACCGGACTGGCCCCAAGACTGGCGGCCATCGTGTCTCCGATGCTCGAACTGGACTCGATCAGAAGAGCACATTAGGGCTCACCCTCACTCACTCACTAACTCTCCTCGAGGCTCTCGATCGAACGAAAGGAGGCAAATCGAGGGCCTCGCAACGAACCGAAAAATTGTGCCGGAGCCTCCAAACCCTCTTCCTCCCGGCCGAGGATTCGAGTAGTTCACAATGTTTCCAATCCCCCGCTCAAGAGAGAGAACTCTAAACTTACGGCTTTTCTCTGCCAGGGGGCAGAAGTGACCTTGAAGCCATGAGACCCCACCGCGTGGATGGATCTCAGCGAGGGCACAAGCCCTGTATCAGAACGTACAGTAGATCGAGGGGGGTAAGGCGCGCGGGGTTAGGGGCGTGGGTTGGGGGTTAGACTCTAACCCCCTCTAACCGTTAGAGGGAGAGGGGTGAGTTCTGTTTGCGTGGGAGTCGAGTTCCTCATATCGAGCTGACTGACTGATTGACTGACTGACTTGACGGACTGACGGACGGACTCTATGGAGGAGGACAATAGTTTCTCCCCAATTTCGTTTGTGCTCGGAGAATGGGAATAATAAAAATTTGACTCAAGTCGTTGACAGTTATCTAAAAAGCCCCAACCGAATGGCGTCCTCCACCAGCGAAAGCATGAGCCAGGGCCAGGGCCAGAGTCAAGGATCAGATCGATCAGATGCAGAAGACTGTAAAATATTACGGCACCTTGCTGCCATAGCTTCCAGAACGGCGAGAGAGGGAGGGCCTGAAAGTGGATGAGGGAGGGAGGAGGAGAATCTCGGCTCACAGTAATCATTGCGCATGTTCTCACTCGACCTGGACCAACCGCCACACTGCTGCGCCTCGAAGTCTTCTTCTACAGCGCGGTTGATCTGAGCCTGTGCGGCCATCGGATTGGGCCCATGATGTGCAGCCTCCCTCGGCCCCCTTCGCCGGGGCGAGGTGGACGTGATTCGAGGTTAATTGTTGCGGGCTCAAAAGGGTGCACGTAAAAAAGGTCGACTGTGATTTTGGTCCAGCTGGAGCTGGCCACTGTGGTCACGTCAACTTCGCTCAGGAAGGGCATCAGAGTGCATTCGAGAGCATCCGGCAGCACAGATTCTGGGCCTTCTTCTTCTTCTTCTTCTTCTGTAGGTACCGACTGCCGTAGTTGCACGACTCAGACACACAACGACGGTCAAGCAAATCTCTCGCAATCCAGGATTTCTTTATTCATAGCTCCGGTTGCCACAAGTGCACCTCTTTCTATCTATCTATCAATGTATCTATCGAGCCGACTCGAGCACATCCCACGCTTCGGGCCACTCTTTGCAACAAAGGTGCAACCTTTTCTTTTCTGCCGAACCTGAAATTGTTCATCGTACTGCCATTTGCAGCTCCCAGTGGCACGCTACGTCTGATCTCTTCTGCTCTGTTCTATTCTGTTCTGTTCTCTCATGCACGTGGTGTACGAGACGAGTCTTGCTTCATGCACTGGATTCAGAGAGAGAGAGAGTGGTTGCGTCCCAAGTGCGTGGGCATACATACGCTTTTACCATCCTACGATCGCCCCCGGGATGCACGAACGAATTGTACAAAATCCCTGCGCTACAATTTCTTATTCTTATTCTCTTGCCTAAAGATATCGGAGGCAAGTAGACCGAGTTATTGTTCTAGAACATCCTGGCTTCTTCGTGCCATAGCCATAGATGGGAGAAGGAAGAGAGAGAGAGAGAGAGCATATATATTGAAATTCGATCGAGTTTCGAGCACGAAGTCCATGTCTGAAGGGGGGATAAGAATTTAAGGAGCTGGCTCGCAGACGGAGAAAATGGAGCTCGGGAGAATAGGGGCCGACTGATTGATTGACTGACTGACTGAATGGCTGAGCAGAGCTCAGGCGCATTGGTTGCCGATGTAGGAAAGGGTGTAAGGGGGCTCGTCCTTGGCCAACCATTCGTAGATGTTGAAAACGACGGCTTCGAAGTCCATGGAGACGCTGACCGAGTTCACGAACCAGCTCGGATTCACGCCTGCGTTGTCGTGAGACAGGTGGATCTTGCAGATGTCGAACACGCACTTGCCCACCATCGTGAACGTGTCGGTCTGTCCTCTGAGGAAATTGTCCTGGCCCGAGTTCAGATCCACGAACAACACCGACTGCCCCATCTTGTTGAAAAACTCCACGTTCACATCCGCGTCCGTCCCCGCGAACTCGATGTTCCCTGTGTGCGTGACCACCGTGTACGTGCATTGCTGCAGCACCATGCTTTCCGCCTGTCAGATTCGGACTCAACCAATTCTACTTCACATTTGCCTTCAGAATGTGCACCATGTTTCTTTGAGCTCGAAGCTCGTGCTGTAAAATCGGCAAATTGCACTCCCTAACGTGGAAAATTCTACAAAGATTGTACAAAGGCGGACGACAGCAACATAATTCAGGACTCTCAGACATGGACATGAGCAACAATTAATCGTCTCTCAGCTGAGCCGAATTGTCTGTGGAGCCCAGTCAGTCGAGCTGAACACGGTCGACCGTGGTAGCGTGTTCAGCTCAGAATCCGTTCCTGACATGCCCCAGCGAGCGACGGGACTGGTGTCAATTTAGTGTCAATTTCAGTGTTTGACCAGAATCCATCTTCAGTACCCGCTCTGCAGCTGCAGCTGCATCTCTCTTGAACTACGATTATGCTTACAGCCAAATTCCGCAACCTCGACAGCGAGAGCCAAATGTCCTGCAAACGTGACAGCTGCAGGGCTGGTTGGATGACGTATCCCTGCTGCCCAGTTCTTCATGTGGTGCTCACTTGGAAAGCGGTCAGTGATCGAAGCTTATACTGAGAACACGCAAAATTGTAGCTTAAACTCCTGAAGTACGGAATTGAATAGGACATTGACATTCGAATCTGACCACTACGGTTCTCGCTGCGAGATACGGAGGAGAATTTGACTGAATCAGTAAACGGAACGTCGACGGGATCATACAGAAAAGCATGTTGTGCATAAGGGATACAACAAAACAAACCCATGACGAACTTGTGACTTGATTGGCAGGCAGTCAGTCAGTCAGTCAGTCAGGCAGTCGTTCTTCGAGCTGTGTCCTCTGCAGGACACGAACCTTGTACCCACCCGTCAGTACAGAAGGCAAATCCATCTTGGACTCTTGCGTGGGAAATCAGGCGTCCCGATGAGGCCAGTGGCACTTTGGGTCTTTGATTTCGTAACTTCCATAGCCAGCCAGAGCAGGAGAAACCTGTTATCATGTTACGTGGCTGGGAAGTACGGTACCATTAATGTTTCGTCATAATCGTACCGAGCAGGTTCATTCATCCGAATCCCAGTTTGTCCATATCAATCCAATCGGACTCAGATTCTTTGAAAGTAGTCGTCATCAAGCAAAATTTCTACTCTCTCCTATGAAGCTATGAAGCTATGGAGCTATGGATCTGTCAGTCGTTATCAAGCGCTCGTACGATCTGCAAGCCTTCAGGTATGTGGAAGTAGGCGACAGACGTCTTGAAAAGCACATGGTCTGACCGAAAATTATGTTTGACCCTTGTTGTAAAACTCTCAAATTCGATTCCATGACGAAAGTAGTATAGTAAGTGACAGTCGCAGCGTTTCGTCAACCTTGGTTCGGACACTAACATGGTTTGGTCAAGTGTCTCTCTCACCTCTGAGTGGTGCGTCCAAGATGCCGGGTGAGCCACATTGTCGGCTTTGCCCGAGCTGGACTCGTCAGCTGGACTCGTCCGTGCATCGGTGAGTACACCTTGCAGCATTAGTATACAAATCCATACTGAAAACATCGCCAAAGCCAATGGTGTAGCTCCAACTCTTGCAAGGGCTGCCATGACTCCTCTCCTCACTTGGAGAATCCCCTCGTCGCCTCGTCACACGAAGGTCTCTAGCAGTGAGAGAAATGAATCAGATTCCCATCCATACAAGTGAGTGCTGCATCAGATTCGTATGATGAAGAAAAAGAAAAAGAAAAAGCCAGAAGCAAATTCATATTAACCATCGATGTCTATCTAGAGTCCTGAACCCGAGGGTCAGTCAGCTGGGAGAGGTAGCCAACCTGTAGAATCCGAATTCTGTTGAGATATGGATACCGGTAGATGGGATGTAAAGACTCGAGCTGCGTCCAGCTTAAATACTACGGGCTCGCTTGACTGGTCCAACATCTGGAAGATAGTGATCCAAAGTTCGAATGTATGATGCCACGCTCGTACAATTGTACATCGCATGTTTCCCGTTTTCAGCAGGCAACAACTTGGTGCTGATACTCTGCACGGTTCTTAACCACCGCCGCAAATTCCTCCTCGGATATCAGACGAACTTTCTTCTTGCCTCATCAGCCCTCGAGCATTCATTTGTCAGGACAGCCAAGACAGTCGAATGCTTCTGGAGTCTAGTGGTACATGCAATTTCATGATGAAATTCGTCGCAGTTGGGACATTGTGTTCTCATGATAAGGCGAGCTCTCTGCATGTCGATGGACCTGTTTCCATCTTGTGAGCGAGTGGAATGGACTTCTGCGCAGTAATTTCGATGTTGGAAGTGATTGAAGTAATGAGGCAAGAAGTCTAAGGTGCTGCTTCATTCTTTGGGAGCCATTTCGGACAGACTCAGATGCTGGACACACCGAAAAGTAAATCTCCCGCATCAATTCACATGTTTAAGCCTTATAAGTACATTACACCGAATTCCATGCATGTTGCAGGTCTGGATTACAGCTGCTGACCGAGCTAAAAGTATCGTTTGACCAGTTAAATCGCAAGGAAATTTTTCGTTTCAATTTTATGGCAAACTCCTAGCGACTCTCAAAGAATTCCGTGCATGAAAATGGGAGTATACAGACTTATTAGAGCAGTATCCGGTAGGCTTCGGTGCTTTGGTGATTATTTTACAACCTTCATTCGCTTAGAGTAGCTCAATTGATGTAGCGTGCTATTGTAGCACTGGCCGTGACCATTACAAATTTATGACCGGCTGCTTTTGCCCATTGCCCTGTTTGCTCGATGGGAAGGTTGCGATTGTCTCTGGCTATCCAACAAACGAAGTCATGATGAAGCATGACACCAGTGTGGTCCAACTCGAGCTAGCTCCCCTCCTGCCTGCTGTTCAAAGACCAATCTGCTCTCACCATATCCATTTTTAGAGACCTTTAGCCTGGTGCTAATCATCAAAGTGACGATAATTATCAGTTCGCCGTCATGTACAAACAAAGGGCTGAATGACTTCACCCAGAGCAACCACGGAATCTCTCTGCAATTTAGCATCTCGTTCTGATAAGCCCGGCGGGTAGAAAAGCTCCAAGAGCCAAATTCAGCCTCGACAACGCTGAGCACCGTACCAGTCAGCCTGAGTCACCTTCTCGATCAATCATGAGAAGCAGATCCATGGCCTATCGGAAACCCAGTGGGGACAACCTCGAAAGCATTGATCATGACAATGATTTTGGGCAGCACTCACGCTTCTGACGGACCTGTGACCAGCAGTTGAGTCCAGACACATATAGCGAGAGCTAACTAAATTTACAGAAACCAACTGCTACAAGATAAGTGTTTGGAGCTTTCAGTAGCTGCATCCTCCTCTTCCTGGAGGAAGAAGAATCTGGACCTGTGGTAGGAGTAGTTCCAGCGTTTCATATCACCTCGGCAGATCTACTCATCCGGACAGTGACCTAATTATAGGACCTTCGTCTCCACCAACATGGCTGCGACATTAAATTCTTCGTAGATTCTTACCAGAAGTTTTACCCGAGTGGCACTTGACAAGAGACCTTGTGGATTTTGCCAGTGGAAGAGAACTATACTACATTCGTCAGTCAGTACAGTATTGAAGACACCGATACAAACAAGAAAGGGCTATCGTATATAGGAGTTGACTGTCAGTGTTCTGAAGGCTGACCGTCAACTGCTACAAGTCAATCCCGCTTTGTGGCTTTGTTTTGGGAGTGCTGTGTTGGTCTGAAGAAATGTGCGTTGTATGTCCAGGCCTCGAGTTTAGTCCCGGTTGGAAGCTCAATCGTCGTGGGTGGAAGACCTGCATGCCTGGTTTGTTTGTGATGTGATGGAAAAAATTGATCATCAGTTCCAGAAACTTAATGTGCGTATGTGTGAGTGAGTCAGTGAGTAAACTAAGAGTCCTCTTTGCTTCAGACGTCGTAACTCAGCTGGAGCAAATTTCTCTAATCTGATTTGAGAATGCTTCTCGATATACTCTGAAGAGCTGAAGAGTAAGCTTCTCTTTCATTCTTCTGGTTCCAAAACATCTCTTTCACTATTGGGAGCGAGCAGAATCGATCATTTCACCAAATTTGATGGAGACCGAGTTCTAGAATTTAATCGCTCCAGAATCATTCTTGGTCAACAGAATAACTCCAGTCTGTGCCATCTGAGCTATCGTAGGCATTGCTTGATCAATGTGAGATGAGAGATGGACCGAAATTTATAATGTCCAAGAATATGAGACCTGATCAGACAATACAAGGAATCTCTCTTTATTCATGTTTTTGGTTCACCGATGGATGTTCACTTCCACCGGGAAAGAATCTGTACGATTTTCTGTCTCGACGCATAAAAATCGAAAAGCACGACCGGAAAACCTGGTCGTCTTATCCCACAGACCCTCCTATTACTGACGAGTTCAGAGCTTCGCTTTGAGCGAAACCTTCCTTCCACCGACTACAGAAACGTGACCTTTTCATTCAATGGCACCTGCGAGGCATGTGGACTTAGAAGTCGAACAGATGACTAATGCAAATCAATCAATCAATCAGTCCAGCAACCTTAGAAACTGGACACTCAATCTAACCGAATCTTTTCTATGAGGAGAGAGGCCTTTAAACGGAAAGTATCCGAATTGACGAACCTGCAGTTGTGCCTGATGATGCCTCCAGTATCGATAATGACAGCTCGTCACCTGCATCGAGCTGTCATTATCGATGAATCGAGCGAGCCAGAAGAAGCTGGCACCATGCAGAGTTTGGAGCTCACCCGGAGATCCAAGCACGTACGAGACCACCAACTGAATTGCAACCGGTGTGCCTCCCACTCGAGGCCGGCCTTTGAGTGATTCCACAGACCGAGCTCGCATCCGAGACGGAATCACAATGCTCGAAAGCTGTAGTACGCTGCGTACGAGAGCCCCCGACAGCAGCCGTCATACGTAAGTTGCATGGGGACGTGCAGCGGCGCGTTATGTAAATCGGCAACAGACGAGAGCCGCTCGGACGTTGGAGCATAACGCCGGCCGGATGCTCATCATTGGCCCCATTGCAGTCAGCCAGCCATGGTCAGACATGCAGCAGCAGCAGCAGCAGTCCTGCCAGACTCTACGGTACGGGAGACCTCGCCATCATCTTGTGGCATTCCTTCTCCTTCTTGTGTGTCTTCGGAACCTACTGTAATGGAATCTTTTGGTCCAGCAGCCTGCTTTCCGTTGTGTCTGTGATTCTTCAGGGCCCGTGTGATCATTATGCCCTGCCCTGCAGTCATGCACCCTGGCCCAGCGTGCGAGCGGCTTCGAAGAGCCGTAAGGTTCGAGGACTTGGGAAAATAAAACAACAACAGATAAGAACGAGAAAACTAAACTCGAAACAATGGCCCCAATTGCATCCTAGGGAAAATTTAATATTATTATTGTCATATATAAGATATCGTATCTATTTCAAATGGTTCGGAACAACTGAGCGTACTAGTAATCATCCTTGTCTTCATAAAAACCGCTTGTATAAAGTATTGTGTCTAAATAAAAAATTAATCAACATCATTGTTGAAAAATGGATTGCATATGGTTCTTTTCATTAAAACCGCTTGTATAAAGAATTCTTTATAAATAAATAAAAAACTGGCTACCAATGGACATCTCGGCCCCAATTCCAGACAAGTGTACCTTGGGCTTAACGGCTCACATTACAGTACACTTTTCGAGTATGTGATGTGATCGCTCGGGTACCTGAAGATAGTGAAGATTGATGGATGGATGGCCCCTTGAAACTGTGCTTCCGTTGACAACAAATCTCGTGGCCCTTTTGGGCAGTCCATGGCACAATACGATGCCTGCACTTTCGGCCGAGAGACTGCACAATCCTACAGTCTGGATCGTTGCCAGAGCCAGCCGAGGCAGTGTAGAGAGCACATAGTGGATAGAGCGACAGTCTGTCTGTTCTGTCTACTGGAGTTGCTGCAGCAGTGCTTGCGTGAGCTCTGGACTGGACGAGGAGTGTGAAGTAGAAGACGTCGCTCCATATTCGTTCATGTTTTGGTGGTCACACAAGAATTTCAGAATATGTGCACCACTTTCACGACTGTATGTATGAGCAGAAGATAAGACTCCATTTCGTATAAAACTGAAGGTACAAGTAGTCAGATTTCTCACTGCATGATTTTTCGTTTCGCTAGAAGTAAATCAAGCCATCGATGACATGCAGAACTTAGAGCTGTGGTTTTACGAAAAGAAATTGCGACCAGTTGGAGCCTTACAGACCCATGGATAGATGCTCACGACGCACTGATAACTCAGTGAATAGAAACTTGAACCCCAGATTACGATATGGAGTTTCATGTCCGAGAGACGCTGATCTGCACAGCTGTTAACCTGCTTCCACTGCTGATTCTCCCATTGCTCGAGTGACATGCACATTCGAACACGATCTCGTGTAAACCATCAACTGATGAGGACAAATTCAAGCCCGGATAAGGACGGGGATGGAGCTTGCGACACCAGTCCCACAACCGTCAGTAGCTTCATCTCCTCCTTCCGTTTCCGGCAACATGGACACTGGAAGCCCAATACCCTCCCAACAGCTGCGTCCAAGTCCAATGCGGGATCCCGATATTCCCTCGACATCAAGCAGTAGCAAGCTCGGGGAGGCGACGAAGGTGAGCTATGCATCATGGATATTTGTCTGCCTCGAGTCTTCCTTAACTGAAGCACCAAGTTCAGTTCTCTCGGCTCCCAAACATCAACTACATAACACGTCCACAGACCGCAGTTACTTCCGTATCTTGGATTCGAGAATCATTACAGTACAGTAGGTTGTTTGATCTCCACTTTCCTGGCCCGTCCTTGATCTCGTCGTGTGTCAGTACGGTCTCAACCGAGCCAGAAATTGGGAATGCTAGCACACGCAGCAGCGTACAGGTTTTTCCTGGTTTTTGTCCAATCACTCGAAAGAGTTCGACTCTTCCGAGGGGCCCAGGGACAGCTCTCGCTAGATTGTAGTGTTAGAAAACTGTTGCAAATTCGGAGCTGATTTGTTACCAGAATGGAGTTTGTTGCGGATGGTTTTTCGTATGACATACTAAGATTAGTTTGATAGGGCTGGTGGGTCTGAGGGAGGTCTGGAGTCCAATACTCGGCAACATCTGATAGCAGCAGCAGCAGCTTTGTTTGATCGGTGTGCGCAAGTGCCAATCCAAGTACAGACCTGAGCAAACCTCTCGTGTAACATTATGTCTTATCTTTGATTTTACTACTGTATACTTCTCCGAGCTTGATACCATATCTCCAATAGTCAGCCTGCTCAGAACAGTGTCCTCCTCGGTCCTGTGATTCATTGACATCTCGAGAACCAACGGACCATGCAGGCGAGCCATGATTTTCCTGCTCTCCAAACTACACAAGGTGTTCAAAGATTCTTCCTCAGGATAGAAGACGAGACATAAACCTGAATTCTGTATTGCTACAGAGCTCAGAATTACTGTTATTATTCGAGGTGGGAGTAAGTTCCGAGCTCCTCCGAGCAAAGGCCAGGCATGACTCTGCACGCAGATCTCAGCGCTCTCACACGACATGCAGAACTGCAAGTGGCCGGTGAATGCAATTGTCTGATTCTGGAGAATCTTTGGGAAATTCCCCATTTTTTCAGATCCATACAGTCGGTTGCACAATTCGGTCGTTATCAGATTTAGACAGCAACTGTTACTTGACTCGGGTAGACTGGATGACAACGTTGCAGATCAGGGAAATCAGGAGAGCAGTGGTGGGGGCGGGGACCGATTAAAAAATCAGCTCAAAAATGAACAGCAGAAACAGCTCTGACCAAATTTTCTATGACCTTCCGGACCATGATAACATCTCCAACAAATTCGAGGCGGGCAACGACGGCGACGACGACGACGAATTTCAAGTGAATACCAATTGTGCGAACAACATCTGCAGAATGGCTCTGTTCAAAGACCACAAGGGCTGGTTTGTCCAGAACATCAGGTGTCAATCTGTCAGACGGCAGTCCAGAAGAACACCATATCTGGATCCTTGACCAGTGACTGCCATCCACGGGTGGAAGAGAGAAGTAACCGTCTTACGTTTAACTCAGAACAGCTTCAGTCAATCTCATCTCATTTTTAATTCACTTTTCCTGCTGGAAACGCCGACTGGACTTTCAGAGTTTCATAATCACGTGAAATGGGATCGGAGTCATAACTATACCACTAGCTACTTAGCCAATCATGAAGACTAGGGTGGCATGGAATAAGATTCTTAGACGTGATACCCAAGTACTTGTGCAGTACTTTCTTCAAGTACTTGACGGTTCTCTGTCACATGAATCTGTTCAAGTCTATGGAGACATGATCCTTGTCTTTATCCAATGTGTTTAATTTCTGTCGCGTTGTAAATACACTTTTTTGTCCTTTTACAGTATTTAGCTCTCAATGTGGAGCTTTACCCATAATCGTTAACTTTGTACAGGATGCAAGCTGCAGTGGCAGTGAGTTAGAGCAGAGGCTCTCATCAGAAGGTTTCGAAATGGATGATGATCTTCCGCATTGCGATTAAAAAAATTTGGTGGTGGGACTCTGATATTTGCTCTGTGATTTCTTTGTCCTTTCAATGTGTGGCTTTAGGTACAAGAATTCGGTGATCGGGATGTTTATTTCATTCTGATATATTTTATTTTCTGTGGGTTTAAATTCCCTTCGGCGTAAAACGGACCCGTGGTAGTTTCATGCAATATCACCGACATCCTCACAAAAGTTTTTTTCTTTTGGAAAATCAAAAGCAGCGATTACCTTTCACGGATGGGGCAACTTGTAGGACCCCATGGAGTCATCCATACATCATCAGCAGCCTTAATTCGGTCTCAACTGCACATCATTGGGAAGAAATGAGTGTGCTTCAAAAGAAGAAGTGGGTTCGCTTTTGCCTCTGCCGACAGGGATTCTCCAACAATCCTTTGCATCTGCAACTTGCTCGCATTGCCAAACCGCCGTGGAATTTTTCGGGAAACTCGAAAGAACAGTCCAGTGTTCAGTTTTGACCCACACCATTCTTTCTCTGTGAGCCGACCCGTCTTCACTATACCATCACAGTTATATAGTGAAGAGTTTTCCAGCACCGAATGTTGAAACTGGCAACATATTCATTTAGTCCAACTAGCAGTAGCAGTAGTGGTAGTACAGACTGTACATAATCAGGTGCAATGCATGCTGCAGTCCGCACTCATGCTGGTACCTGAACAACCATCTGTTATCCGCTTGGATCGGGCCAGCATGCAGTATCCTGCATGAAGTATGCTTGTCCAGGAAGATGATGCATGTCTCACCTATTGCAATGTCGAAAGGTCCTGTTACAGCATCAACTCACTGACCCTGCAAAGGGTCTGATGTCGGATCTTATACCGGATATACATATACACAGACGTAGATGTGGCGAGCACGAGTGACCAACCAGGACTGGACCATCAACAGCATGAATCATCCTTCGCCTGACATGTAGAAGAAGAAGAAGAAGAGCTATCTACAGCTTATGTTTTGATCCTCCTGGCAGGCACACCAACAATCCGACTCTGGTGACAATGAGACCTTTCAGGTGAGGAATGGAGCAAGAGGCAGAATATGCATGTCCTGCCGACTTGCACGCAGAACATGCAGAGCAGGATAGACTCGAGACGTCGGTATTGGATCCATGACTGAAGCCCTCACATGTGGCTGTCACTTACCAGTGCTCACTTCGTCGGTCCGCTCACTTATAGATCATGATTGGATTTCACGATCATAGATGTGTAACAACAGTGAAGTGTAGAGTCAACATAGTGCATCATGTCCCCCGTAGTGGTTATATACATCATGATCAAGATTTCAACATCACCAATTTTCGGATCCCTTGTCATTTTCCCCGTTGAGGACGTGCACCAAAGAGCAGAGTACTCACACGTGCAACTCAGATCTACTGTAATCCCGAGTTAGTGCTGTCCTGTCTTCGTCCCAGTTCCGTCGAATAGCGGTTGATATCTAAGAATGCATCGTTTTGGCAGAGTGACCGACGTTTAGGGTTTAGGAATGGTGTATTGGGCATTCAAATGGCATGAACAAGATCAGGTGTTTTACTATCTTGCCATCCTTGAGTCATGAGTCCTCAGTGGGTTCATAAGTGGTTGTCTTTAACTTCAATTTTCAGACGTTATCGAATAAAAGACGAGAATATATTGGCATCAGTGTCATTGTGGTCATTGGTCTATTCTGTAGACTACATATTACATGATAAACTACAGGGGCTTAACATGCAGGAAGACCAAAAACATGTAGAACCGAGGTGGTACGTCTCTGGGGTGCCAACTAAGTTATAACAATTGGAAACAAACATGATGGCAAGAGCAGAAAACGGTGGCAACTGAATAGTCTCGAATGGATGCAAACATGCAGATAAAAGCAAACACCATACAGCATTGCTAAATGGAAACGTCTGAGAGAAGAGAGTAGGGCAGCTCCAGCTGTCGTAAAAGTCCTGGGAAACTAAGTGGGCAGTAAGGAAGTGCCAGTCCAAGGCAAGAAAGGCATCTAGTGACCATCAAAAAGTATGTATAAGAGAAGCATCAAATCCCCGTCACGTACACTCAGCTGCTGCTTCATCAGTGGATAGGAGAATAGGTTTCTGCACGGCACCGCGGGGGTTGAGAAAAACTCGAGGACCAACAAGCCACAGACATATCGATCGCTATTGCCCAGAGCTTTGTCAAATATTTCCTAAATCTGCATAACTATGAAGTAGAGGGGCAGTTTAAACAGAAGAAAAATCTGATTCTCTGGAGTATGAAACACAGATAGGTAGCTAAGGCAAGACTGAATTTTGTACGCCTAAGATGGCTTGCTACTGAGGAACGAAAAACTAAGTTAATTGTTAGTGCACGGTGCAGGCGCAAATTTCGATACTTTTATGGTATTACAGCTCCTGCTTCCTGTATAGAGTCACACAATCTCCCTATCAGGTTTACATATATATAGCAGCTCTCATACTGACTAATCCCGCTATCTTACAGAGAGTTTTACCTTCAGATCAAAACAGACTTTTGTGTCTTATATCCCGATTCTGGTCCACACTTACTGCAGTACATGGTATCAAAGGTAGCGAAATTGGACATGGGGGATACAGAATCGAATGACGAAGTTGACTGGAATATTTGAACATTCAGAACAATCTCTTAACTGTGAACAGCTTTGGGCAACGCCCTTCTGGCTCGTAGAGCAGACTCTCACCTTGACCACAGTTTATCTCCCGTGCTCATCCTTCCCCTGTCGCTCAGAGATCAAGATCTGTGACGAAAGATCTCCTTGCAGGAAACTGTCCGATGCACAATCTCAGGACACCTGCGAGGCTTTACTCCCTGCGTACTCACCATAAAATACGCAACCTAAGGGCATTCACATTCGACACAATTTGCCAAGGATCCGTCCGTAACTGCCCTCTCTTATTGTGAGCATTTCAGCTGTTTTTCTCTTATCGTACCACATGATTTTGTTGCAGATGTGGTGGTTAGGTTTTCCTCCCTACTTAACCATCGTCGTGAAATGCGTAAACTTACAACCACGTATAAAAAGTCTCGTCAAATTCATACCCACTGAATGATAATCTTGCGATTCGCAGTGTGAAGTTCCTAGTGCTTTAGATACCAACGCTTGACGGACCGATTTTCGTACTCGTTAGCAGAATAACACTATTATGTACACAATAGAAGTACATCCAAAGGGTGAGGACAAAACCAAGAGTGTAAGAAATCAATCAAACGGGGGGTGTCGTTGCCCCTGGAACTGGTAGCAGCAGTGTTGTTGTGTCAACGCAGATAATCCAACCTGCTCCATTAAAGAAGCAGTAGGAAACTCTTTCCAACTAGTCCCAGATACAGAAATTCCAAGTTTCTGATTTGATGATTGCTGTTTACTGTTTACTGGTATGCTGAAAGAATCACTAAACTACTCACACAACTGACACTGGACCATCTACTTCAACGTACTTCGAGTAACAGGTTTCATCAGCTCGAAACCATGCTATAGGAACTCTGTAAACTCTCAACTACGGGTGTTCCACCTTGACTTCAAGAAAAATTATCGAACAAGCTTCTGCCGCAATTTTGCAGTGCCAACCGCTTCCCTCCTAGTGCCTCGACAAAGATAATACTGGAAAAAGAAGCAAAGATCATGTTCTCTAGAGTATAAGTTGCCATCTGGTACATTCTGTAACATTTAAATGGTTAGACATAAAATATCCTAAAAGCTGAGCCATAACGCTGTACACGTGTGGTTTTGCGCCCGTAACGACGCATGTGCGCATCACTTGGATCACACCAATGTCTCAAAGTTGTAAAACTATAGAACAAACTTCGATAGGTCAGTTTTGTGAAGCAGGTCTCCCATGGAATTCCTAACTTTCTGCACAACGCAATTTTTTCCAGTGTGAGAAGGCGAAATCGACATTTTAGCCTTTGACTGCACAAAGCTGTCAGTATCTGCTAACTATGTGCATTTACTTTCAACACTTCTTAGACGTCGAGTTCCACCACATTCATGTAAAATTAGTGTTCATCTGTAACAAGCTTGTACTTGAAGTTTGTAATTCATACTGAAAGTCAATAAGCATCTGTAGGTAACAGAGCAGGTCATGACGAGCACACCGACCTGTTTATCGATAGTGTATGTTTGACCGGTCCTTTCTGGAGCATGAAAACTTATCTCTTCAACGACTCTCTCGATTACCTGGAAGTTCAAAGTCGAATACAAGAACTTTAGCTGACCTCCAATTCTCGTATAAAGTGCGAACCCCACGGCTTCTAGTCACGTGACAACACATCCCAGTGCTAGAGCGAGTCTGACCATCCACAACTAAAATGTAGAACTACATTCATATATTCAAATGAGCCGAAGAAGGAAATCTACTTGCAAGTAACAAATCATATTCGACATCCGGATATTTCAGGCTACTCGGCAACTTCCTAATATTCACAGGGGTAAAACATCTAAACTTTAGCCATGTTTCAGAGAAGTTTGTAAAATGGCTCATTTCAGACTTACTGTGTGAAGTCGTCTTGCACCAATGTTATCCAGGTACCTGTTAACCTGTTGATAGAGCTCGAATTATGAGACTCACTATGACAACACGGATTATAACAAGTCCATATGCCATTTTAAACTTAACTTGCTTATGATGCGAACCTCGAGTAAGAGAAATAATGTCCTTTGCAACTTGAGGAGAAATATACCTCAGCAGCGACAGCTGCAAGCTCATCGATGGCGTCATCCGTAAACACCAGATCGATGTTCTCTGTCTTCATTAGTAGCTGTTGTTGTTTTATCATGTTCGTTTCGGGTTCCGTGAGTATGCGATAAAGATCCTGCCACCATCGTTTACACCAGTCAACACAACTGGAAATTCTGATCAGGGTTGCCAACAGTCAAGTAGACTCGGCTGCCAAGAGTTGTAAGTGTGCGTCAGTTTGAGGTCATCACCTCACGAGTGAGTCCTTTGAGCTCAACACGAATAGGTAACCTTCCTTGCAATTCGGCAAGCATATCGCTTGGTTTACATGAATGAAAGGCACCACTGCAGATAAACAGAATGTGATCGGTGTTGACGTTTCCGTACTTGGTGCTCACTGTACTGTATCACAAGTGAATAAGTAGCTGAGTGTCAGTGGCTTCTTAGTTTTATTACTTCCATGAAATTGAATAATCTGCGAAAATTACTCATTGCACTATTCTGACAGTGACACGACGTAGTATATGCGTCCCGTACCTCCCCTCAATGATAGGAAGCAGATCACGCTGTACACCTTCCGAGCTGGCATCAGCGCCGTGTCTTGAATCGTGGCTGGTGACAATCTTATCTATCTCGTCGATGAAAACAATTCCATCCGACTCCGCGAGCTGCCAGGGCAAGAATTAACTTTGGTTAGAGGTGGTGCTCTCTATGAGTTAATTACAAGAACACATGATGAGAATACTGAAGGTTCAAATTCACGGAAAAACAGCTATTCTACAGCTGTTCAACAAAAATATTTCCACCCGACGACAGCAAGGTAACAATTGTCATACCATCACAAATAGAGTATTGATCAATGCTTTTAATTCCAACAAGTAGAAAACACACCTCAATAGCATCCTTGGTTATCTGGTCCGAATTCAGATGTTTCTCCATTTCGGTTTCAGTTAGCAAAGGCCGTGCCTCACCAATCGTTATTTCTCGTCTTTCCATCTTCTGAGATTTGAATACCTTTTCCATCTGTTCAAGGGGAAAGAAACTTGTTAGGCCAAGAATAGGAATGAGTCAACCAGAAGATGTTGAAAGCAGGTAGCATACCTGGTTTCTTCATTGCGGTCCTTAATTACGTAAAATCGAATATTCTACTGATACTTTGGACTATGATTTCCTCCATTTACTATGAAATTGTGAGACAAGCAAACATAAATAGAAATGAGACGAAAGACAAATCTCATACAAACAATGTCTTCAAATGCAGGATAGTCGTGCTAGGTGCGTTTCAATAACGTAGGGTACAACAAACATCAACTATCGTTCCCAGTTGTGAGGAAAAGAACAAATCACATATTTCAGTCAAAGCCTGCATTACAGGACGAGCAACAAGCATCACAAAAACGATTACCCGATATATGAGCTCATTAACGGCATAACTACCACCACTGACAATGTCCACGGGGAGACGAACTCGCCCATCAGGAATGTCCAACCTAATTTTGCGATCGTCCATTGCTCCTTCTCTATACAGCTTCCTGAAAATCTCCATCGTATCCGTTGGTGGAGCATCACCCTAATTTAAAAACACAGAATCCATCAGCAAAGATAAGAAAGAAAAAACTCCTTTGTAGAAACAAAGATAACTTTCATACATGATTATCTTGATAATCCAAATATTCCACAAGTCATTGAAAGTTTCGAGGCAAATGTCAACTGATATCGAACCTCCACAGTAGGCTGTTCACCGATAAGAACATCCAGTATCCTGTTCTCCACATTGCGCTCTACGACCTTCACCACTCTAGCCCGGACCTGGAGTATTTCGCAATAGCTGGTTAGATTCAAGGTTGAAACTCTTTGCCAATTTTGCCCAAGGAATATGATCAAAAAATAGAGAAATGAGCATGTAGAGAGACCTATATAGGATATTTGTATCATGTCTTTAAATCTATAAAATACAGCTGAGCAATGCAGTCAGAAGTACTTGACAGCCATAACCGAAAGGCACATGCAAAATAAATATTTCCTGAAACCTACGGGAACAAATTTCAGACAAAGCCTCCAACAGCCAACGATTCATACGACCTTTTGCCGTTGCAAAAGAATGGCGTTGTCAACAAGGTCACGAATTATTTGATCAACATCTCGTCCATGAAAACCTACTTCAGTGAACTTCGTAGCTTCCACCTGCATCAGATAACGTTTCTCAGTATACGCTTTACAAAGAACTTTCTTCAAAGTGAGAGGTTCACAAATCACACTTGATATCATGGGAGACAAACAAAAAGGTACCTTCACAAATGGAGCATATGCTAGCTTTGCAAGGCGTCTGGCAATCTCGGTTTTGCCACAACCAGTGGGACCAATCATAAGAATATTCTTGGGTACGATTTCCGTGCGTAGTGCGGCTGGTATACGATGACGTCTCCATCTATTTCCTGTCAATATGACACAAAACGCAAGAACAGGTCGGTACTTACGCTGGAATATTTACCATATACTGTTCGCTGCTCAATACTTGGATAACAAACTATTCAGCATCATTAATTCATGAATACAATTTCAACTATGAACTGCAATCTTGATGGTGTAAGCAAACATCATACGGGTCATCGAGTCATCAAAAATCTTTTGGGACAGTTCGATATATCCTCCTTAGCCCGTGCCCCAAAGCAAATCACAACGTCTACAGCATAAAATAACTCCAGCCAACCCGAGGATAAGTCAGATAAACAGCAAACAGCTTGTCCCCAACGTAAGCAAAGATTCAACAAACGCCGGATACAAACTGGGTGTAGAAAAGACACCTAGTTTGTATTAACGGAGAGACCTAACGGCAGCGCTCACATTCATAGAGAACATTCTCCTCATGTAACGTTTGTATACAGGTTGACTTGGATGAAAAAAAACTAAAAAATGTCCTCTCATAAAGAGATTTGATGACAGCTTCTTCACAATCTATCATGCTCGTCCCCAGGTGACTCCAAGCAGTGCACAGATCTATATTTTTCATGCCTCAGTTAAAGCAAGTGTAGTTCCCCTGCATTTCCAGAAACTATTATTACAGCAGAGACCTCTATACGAGCTTTGCCCCACACAACATTTATCCCACCAGTTGTAGAGTGGATCAGACAAGAGGCAGCAGCAAGGCTGGTGAAAGCATACGCAGAGCCACAGCAACAGCCCGTTTCGCTTCCGTTTGGCCAACTATATAACGGTCCAACATCTCGACCACTTTTGCAGGTGTCAATGCCTCTGCTCCAAGCTCGTCTGCCAAGCACACGAACCAGAATATATCAGCAACTATGGCAGAATCGTCCATGCTAAAAAGAAAAGGAATGTCGTAGCGCTTTGAACATAAATTGTGGTCATTCGGTTTCTAGAAGCTATAGATACCTGTCGATGCTCCATTCGATTGTAGCACTGTGTGATCAGCTTCACTTGTTGCTGCTAGCACAGTTCCGCTGGCTTCGGAGAATCTGCCAGATTTTCCAAGCGAAGAGATTATGTAATATCCATCTATTGCTTTGTGTCAAACTCGTTATTTCCCTTTCTCATCATCTATTAGAAAAACTACATTTTTTGGGTCATTATGAGAAAAGACTCTACTGCCTTGGATGCTATTTTTCCGTGACTCACTCAACTAAGGCTAGAAATGAGCTGGGGTAAGAACCCTCCAAAAAGGTTCGTCAAACAACACAGCAGGGTGACCATCATTCATCCAAAGGTATCCATATAAACTTGAGATTCCTGATGGAGGGCCCAAAAAATTTCAAGATAGGAGTTTAGTGACCGATTATCAATCACAGTTTTCACCACATGGCAGTCTCGAAGAAAATAGCAAGAAGTACCGAAACCAAAAAAGTTTGCAAATATTTGCAAAATTCACAGTACTTTAATTCCTTCTTAAAACTGGTAGACTGAACTGGATAGAGGCTCTGTCTTGGGAAATTGTCTTATATAGAAATAGATGAAGCCAACCCGTCTAAGGGATTCCAATGTAAGTCAACTGCAAATCTGGGACAATATGAAGTGTTCGCTTATTCTCTGAGATTATGTGAACTTAGCAATTATCATAACATAAAAGTAGAAATCAACTCAGAAAATATGCGAACCAATTCGAAGCACGAGCAAAATTCCAAATAACTCAGATTCACTCCACGTAAAAGTGACAACCATTTCAGCTGTAATTCAAACCCTGGCAGAATAACATGACAATGCCATCCAGGGTACAGCTGATTCACCGGTTGATCAGCTTGACTGGAGAATTCGTGCACTCACAGTCCATGCAGAAAAAGCTCTTGATTCTACCAGGAATAACATAGGAAAACTCTTGGAAGAGAAAACAGAAAAAACTCTGACCCTGAAGTAGGAGACGCAGAGATATGCCGCAAGGAGATCACTGGGAACGACCGGGAACAGCTGCTGGTGTTTTGCTTGTTGATATGTGACCGAGCGAGAGTGATCAACCCAGGAACGCGACCCGAAAACCGGTGAAGGAAGTGCCTCATCGTATTCGAAACCCGACACGAATCGCTACCTCGCCCAGGACTCAACCCACGACACAAATTCTCCGCCCCCCGGATCTTCAAAGGGCTCCACAATCACTCTTCCTCCCTCACGCAACACCTGCCACTAATCCACGGCCGGACACAATCGCCTTCTATCTCCGATGATCCTTTTCTCTCGGCAGACTTCCACTTCAATCTACGACGACTTGGCTATCCACAATCACTCCGTCCACTCTGATCTTCTTCCACTCTGCCCTCCCCGATTCTAATTCCTACAGGCAGAGGCGCTGCTGCTCCACCTCGTCGTTGTCAACCAAACTATCTATCAAAATTTGTCATGCACGCAACTGCCAAATCTCGCCTATTTCAAGTTTCTCCTCGTCCCTGCTCCGCTCTTATTTCTGCTTCTGCTCGCAAACATCGGACGGGCTTTGAGAGCCTACGTCGTACCCTCCTCCTCCTCCTCCTGCTCCTCCTCGTCCTCTCCCTTCTTCGCTTTCTTCCTGCTCTAACTACGATTTCTTCGTGATCACTTCCGGCATGCGCCTGCTTACGTCGCACTCTTAATTAGCGATTTCGACGGACGGATGTTTCTTGGCAGCCTGATTTCACTGTCTCCGGCAGGCAGGCCGTCCATCGCAGTGCCTTTCTTTCCGTGGCGTTCGGACACAATCCCTCGAGGAAAACGGAGGACGGCCCTGCATGAAGCACGAAGCATGATGCCGGACCCCGGTGGTTCAATATGGTCGACAACTATTTAATATTCGTTCGTACGTTTCATTTGGCGAAATATAATCTCGTATTTCATTTACATTTCAGCATTTGAGTATGAGAGAAGCCACTCCCATCGTTGGGGAAAACCCAGAGCATTTTCTCTCACTCATGGACGTGGGTTACCCTGACCCGCCTACATTTAACGCAAAACAATCATGTTGTCTAATTATTTGCGATTCTTATGCTTGTTTCATCCCCAAATTCATCTCAAACGTTTGTGTTATTGAACATTATTGCGTCGCCGGTGTTCACCATACTGCGGTTGTATGACAAACTGCGCCAAGTGGTGCTTGAATGATGCAGATCATAAGACAAACTCTTTAGCAGCATGGTTGTTTGAGAAAATATCGTCATGGTTTGAAAATGTAACTCAAGCTTTGGAGTATGTGTGTCGGCTTGATTTTGATTTCTCCAATAAGGTGTCAAGGTTCTCCTCTCACGAAAAGAGAGGGAATGTCAGAGCGTAGTGGAGATTAGACCCCATCATTTGTAACCACACCATTTCTCAGTGAAGAGCCCCGCGCTACTACATCACTCGTGTCCTTCTATATGATCATACTCTTGGAAACCTAAGTGTTCTGACATAAAACATTCCTGCAATGCTCTAGCAGCATTATATTGTAATATTATTTTAAAGTACTTATTCAACAGAATACATGTATTCTATGGAATGAAGAAAAATCAAAAATCGTGAAGAATTATACTTATTGAGAACTCATAATTTGGTACGTTTTCTATACCTTTTTTTAGTTAGTTGACATCCTTTGCATGGTGGTAAATCTAAATTTGATAAATTTACTTCATACATATTTAAGCATACATTCATGTATGTTATTAAGTTTCTATATTGAATATCAATGTATCAACCTTTTATTAATTATGTGAATTTGCTAATATTTTGATTTTAAAAAATCTGATCATATCTTTAACTTACCATCAAAATGCAGATTATAAGTTTTAAACAAATTCACATCATATTATCAAGATCAGATATCAGTTGATTATCAATATACTTCATGTTCCATTCTATATTAAAAATTGTTCAAACAAATGATTTGTATTCTTTCAATCAATATCCATTATCGCTGGTATTTTCAACTGTTTCATATTGCATGAAATATGAACAAATAAATTATTTTAAATCTTTAATAATGAAAATCTGCACACTTAATAAAGACTTAATGTACAAACATTATTTTCTTCCCATATATATTACATATTGGCCTTTAAATAAAATTTCAAATAACAAGTTTCAACTAATGAGAAGAAATGTGAGATAATATTGAGGTTAATTATACCATGTTATTGCTTCATCTATCGACATTACTTGAAAATTACCCAATTGAATAATGGTCGACTTTTCACATATTTTGATAAAAACCATTCACATGTGAAGAGTACTGTAAAACTTGGTCAGTCAAGAAGGGATACAATACAGCAAAAACAAAGTCTCCGAATTTGATTTTAAAATTCTGAGACTGTTAATTTCGAATTCAAGGTTAGTTAATAATATGCAAAAACCTCAAAATGTACTACTTAAATACGAGTATCCTGGAGGTAATAATATAATTCTCTTTTGATTGGATGTATAGTGGCATATTGATGATCAAAATTTATGTTTTTTACATCCTAATATAATTTAAACTAGCCTTTAAATAAGAATTACAATTAAAAGATACATTTTTTGTTATAATTTTGTTCATAACCTGATTCGTTAAATACAATAAAAATATATAGAATATATTTTTGTATATTACAAAATATTATTATTAAAAGTTTTTATTGAACAAACTATTAAATAAAAAATAATACATAACCTTATGTTTTTATTATCAATATTTGTCAAGTATTATGAATATTATACTTTGCATGCCATTTGATATAACTAACAACATATATTATACTTAACTTTGTAGATTAGTAATATGTGCATTTAGAAAAGTTAATATTTGACAAAGGTATGTGTTCATTGAGTTTTTAGATATAAAGTTATTACAGATATTTAACACAAAATTAATAAACAAAATATTTTAATAAATGTTTGATTTTAAAAAATATTATCAATTTACAATAAAAAAGGTCAACCTACAATCAATAACCATCATGGTGCACATAATAATCATGTTTCCTATTTTTAAAAAAATTGACTAGTAATATTAACTTAATTTTATACATTTTTAATTATAATCATTAACATTTTCTATAAACTAACAAAAATATAATGAAAACATTTTAGCAAAGTACAAAAAACACAATTAGGTTTGGAATAAAAATTACTTGTAACCTGTTTTTGGAAGCTCGTGTAAGCAAATTACTCATTTACATAATTTACATGTATTAAATGTTGATTTGGACCAACATAAGCATTAACAATGTGTTAAAATTAGGTATTTAAAAATATTTTTGTATTATAATTGTGGTTGTGAAATTTTACATAAGAATCAATAAAATTATTTTCATACAAATAAAATTCACATATTTATATATATGTTAAATTCATCTTGAGGAGACAAGCATTGATGTCAAACATGTGAACATCACTAACTTTGATTGCATATGTATAATAGCTTCAACATTGAAATTAATATAATTTTGAAACATATCTTAAAATCACTACTTGACATCAACATCAAATGATGAAATTACATCACATATTCTCCACCACTAACTTGCATAGAAGTTGATGTTTTAAGAGTATCAATTTTTTATTAAAAAAATATATTTAAATGAATTTATAATAAAGTAACACTTGTAAACACCATTTTTGTGGTCATAAGTAGAATTTTTTTAATCTATGTGCTTACGAATATAGTTAAATATAAAATTTGTGTTAAATAACATACATAATATTTTAAAAAAATTTTCCATCTAACATTTTGAAATTTATTGATAATTTGTTAATGGAATAGAAAGGGGAATTTTAATAATGATGTCTTATACAATGAATCAAAACAACGCCAAAACATGATTAAACTTGCTGTCTGTAATTACATAAAATTTAATTTGATAATGATAATGTCATATTTTAAAATATATTTTTAAACCTATATATGCTACCAAAGGCAAAATAACAATAATTGTAATGTAAAGAACACAATAGAGTTCATAAAAGTACTTTAGCTTCAAAAAATATAAACAAAATATAACTAAAATTTGAAAAATAGGACTAAATATTTAAAGTTTTTAAAATTTTTAACATTTTTTATGTACTTACCCTTTGAGAGGAACTTATATATGCAAACCTCAAACAAAAATTTATTATGAAGCAACATATGAACATATTATTCATATCCACATCACTAAATCAAAAAGAAAACAAAATCCAAACTTATTAAGTTTAGGTTTTGAAATTTTGTGAATAAAAACTATAAATAAAATAATTTATTTTCTTTCAATGAATTAAATTTATGCTTCAAAACTTATTGCAGAATTTTTTCTATCATTATAGTTTCAAAATAAAAAAAATTAGCTCAAAAATTTTATTATTGATTAAATTTATGAAGTATCAATATGATATGAATCAAAAAAAGTACATAAAAATGTCTTCAACAAAATGTAACAATCAGGCGTAATTTAATGTAAAATCATATATGTTTATAACACTTCTATTCAGTTAAGAATTTTGAGGTGTTTTACATAAATATTGATTTATGAATCGAATCTGGAGCTTGTAAACCAAGATCAATTAAAATAATTTGTTCATGATTTTTTTTATTCTTGATTGTTGGTAATTACTTGTTTTTAATTTTTGTTGGTTTTGTTTTGATTTTCAAAGTAATGCTTACTTCATTTTATACACGCGTTAATAAGATGAAGTTGCATAAAGTAGAAGAATCATCAATTTTTTAAACACAATGATTTTAAATACTTGAAATATAGCTCAAAATATAGTAATATATGTTGTTCAAATATTTTATATTCAAAATTAAAATTCCAAAATTCTTGCTTAAAATTACATATGAAGCTTATTTAAATACTATATATTTTTAAATTTTATTGGAAAAAATCATCTATATTATTTTTGTCTATAAGTCAAGTAAGCGAGTAAGGTCAATATAAAAGTATGTCGATGATAAACGAGTTCCTTGATATTATGCACTAAATTCTGCAGGTTTGACCTTGGACTCGGCAATCTGAGGCAGTTCTAGAGTGAGTCAAAAAAGCGTTTGAGAACAGGAACAAGATTGAAAGAGAACTAAGCAGATGAGTCCAAGCATACAGATAGTTCAAAAAAGCAGAGTAATTTGAGCAATCGAGCAATATTCTGTTTGTTTTTGTATCTCGTTCATTCAAAAAAGCAGAGGAATTTGAGCAATCGAGCAATATTCTGTTTGTTTTCGTACCTTGTTCATTCAAGAGCACGTACGGATGGAAAGATTCTCAAGTTACGAATGGGATCACAGAATCACGATTTAGTTCGATAATACATTTCTATTGGTCGCAAAATAGTGTTGTCTAGAGGGCGGTGGATATAGTCCACGTGGTCGCGAAAGCAAATTCTTTGTTGCTGATGTTGATTTCAAGGGTAGAAACTAGGGGAGTGTCATGCTCGAGTCATCGGACCGGAAGAAGCACACAGATTGTTTGACATTATCATGCAGGTCACACGAACATTTAAAGACAGTCAGAACATTAAAAGAAGAGAGGGTTAATATAGAAAGCAAGTAAAGACAAAAACTGAATGACGACGCATTGAAAAATTACCTTCGCAATCCCGTGCAGTATATTCACTGACAAATAGGAGGTCAATCTGACAAACTCTGCACTTAAATGAGAGGAACATGAACTAGAGAATGAGGTGCATTTCAACTAGAGTAACTCGGACGGGCAAATAAGGTGCACTAACCCGCAAAAAC